TCTCAGGCTGTGCTAATCTCCCATGCAGGTTAGATTAAAACTGTGCTGGTAAATTGGGCCTGGTTTGTTTCCAAAACAGAGAGATAGAAAACTTAGATACTAATGAGTTGAAATGAATGTCTGCTTACATTTTTCATATGTTCATAATGCCGTCAAGTTCACGGAAGGTGGATCACGTCTCCTGCTAGGTAATTCAACTGGACCAACTGGCTAGCTCTATTTAGAAATTCCGAATCACATGTATTTTTGCAATGTTCTTGCAGTGGGGAGAATAACAGGTGTAAAGGGCGGAGAACCCATGCGTGTGGGTCTGATAGCTGATGAGATCACCACGAGGAAACTCTGGAGGGTCCACCAGCCCAGTCTCCAGAGCAGAGGAATCCCAGGACTGGGGGCTTTGCCAGGAGGGGCTCTGTCATGTCACTTTTGCGTGTGGGCACATGAGTGCCAAGAAGGGAGAAGCAGGCAACAGCTACAACCGGAAGATGAGCCCTTCATCACTCCATAATCAGTGCTCCACGGGCCGGGCGCACAGCACCCACCCAGAGACCAGGAAGATCCCAGGGGAGTCACTAAGTACCTGCTAAGCACCAAACCTCAAGCTGGAGCCTGGGCACCCTGAGGGTTGGCCCTCCAGAATCCCTGGTCTAGCAGCATAGCAGGGCCATGAGCATAGACGTAGGTGTCATATGACAGCAGGGAGGGCCCCCCAGAGAAGGGACTGTATCACAAATTTGTGTAATATATTTGGCAACTTGGCATACATCTTTAGGTCTGACATAAGTTATTTGAAACCAGTTGTACCCTGTCACCTTTGGCCTCATTAAACAAAGACCGCCCCCGCATGCCAAGAGCAGAAGGAGGAAGGGAGGAGGGTAATCGCCAGCGGTGGTGACTGGGTGGTAACACTGGGTCCATGCCTCTGAGACCAGGAGCTGGTCCAGTGGCCCCAGACAGGCATTTGACAGGGCACACATACTGATGCAGGATGAGGACGGGGCTGCAAAAGCAGGTCCACTCCTCCACAGCAGCACCAAGAGGTGCCTGGACAGGACAGTGTGGCTCTGAGCACATGCCACCCGTGCTTGGTTCCTGTCCTCCTTGTGTGCTAGCAGGAGGGTCTGAATGGATTATGCAGAAGTGGAGAAGAGACTAACCAAGCACAGACTGAAGGAAAGAGGGGACATTGGCTGAGCTGCCCCCTCCCATGGGCAGCAGTGTCCTCAAACGGCTGGCAGGGAACACAAACAGGCAGGAGTGAGACCCTGGCTTCCCTACCACCAGGTTTGCTGTCATCAAATCGTCTCTACAGCTTTGGGAAAAAAAATGAAAGTTGCCAGGGGAGGGAGGGAATGCAGGTCCTTTTTAAAATAAAATTTCAGCCAGTAAAAGTAGTTTTTAAAATCATGTCTTTGGGAAAAACAAGCAACTATGCCATGTGGCCACCATGCCATGTGCCAGGGTCTATCGCTGAACGTGCGTGTGTCCGAGTCAGCCCTTTGTGTTCCTTGTTAGTGGCAGCTGACGCTGCTGCTCTGCCTTCACAAGTCCACTTTCCCCAGTGCCCCGAGGCCAGGGCTGTGCTGTATTTCTCAGTGAGTGAATGACTCAACACATAAAGTGACGCCGTATTCAAATCCATGCTGCAAAGAAAGAGAGGTCTCCATGGGGGGGGGGGGTCTAAGCTCCTCTCTACTTAGAACTCACAGGAGTGGACCTGCTCAGGACTTCCTGTTCCCCTAGGGCTTAACCCAACCCGGGGACAGTGCCCCAGCCCTGCCTTTGAGAGAGCCCAGCTCGGACTGCCCTGCACTGGGGAAGCCGGGGCTCCATGGCCCTGCACCCCAGCTCCCAGATGCCCCTGCTGGGGTTGGGCCCAGGCCAGGAAACAGCCTGGCAGCCTGGGGTTGGGGCTGACTGCAGGGTCAACTTGCTTCTGAATCCACAAGGCCATTTACAGCGTTCACTGTAATTACCACCACATACAGGTTCCATCACTACCTTCTACATTCAGTTGCATTTTGTGCAGAAATCCAACTGGGCTAAAATACTGTATCTGGCTCATTCACCAAACACTAAAGTGGGAAATAAAATTTACTGGAAAGAGATTCAAGTATAAAAAGTCCCCACCCCCCAAATTCAAAAGTACATTCAGAAATCAGCTAAAACTAAGATATCCCTGTTTTAGCAAAATGTAGTCACATTAATCCTTAGATGAGAGCCCACACTCGCCTAAGGTAACGCCGAGGAGGGGCACTGCAGCCTGGCCCGGCTCCAGCAGGGAGCACGTCCACAGGCGGGAGCTTCCTTCCCACCACACAAGTGACCAGGCCTCCCTGGACCCCACCTGCCCACCTCCCGGGCACTTCCACCCACACCTCCCATGCTCTTCTTGTCTCCATTAAGACAAGAAGTGGGACTCCTTTTCAGGGTGGTTTGCCCATGACCTCAAGTCATTTAGCATCTAAACGTCACTCAGCCTAACCATGAACACGAAAAGGGAACAAAAGCCCCACAGACTCCAGGGCAAGATCACCAGGCTGCTGATTCCAGGAGCCATTTGCAAGTCCCTCCGCCCTCCACTGTCCCGCAGGGCTGTCCTTACCCCTCGCTCCAGGAGCATGTCTCGGAAATGGGTCACGCGCTCCTCCAGGGGCAGGAGGATCTGCGGGGGTGGCGTCCTGGTGCCTTTGTCCTCTCTCTCCGCCTCTTCCAGACCTGGACTCCCATGGCCTTCAGTCCTTTAGAGGCAGAAGACTCAGAGAGTTAAACACGACTTTGGAGACATAACTGGTTTTCATCACAACCTTTAAAAACCCTCTTTAACACACTCTTTACCAAGCAAAGAATCTTTGAAAACTCTTTTCAAAGCTCGGACCGGTTTGGCTCTTGGAATGCAAACTGCCCTGTTGGATTTAGGGCAGGAGGGTGGGACCAAAGCCTTAGTGGAGAGGCACCCACGTGAGAAGGCCATGAGCCCTGTGCGGATGGAACTGCACCAGCTGCCAGCCAGGGAGCAGTTTGGCTCTTGGAATGCAAACTGCCCTGTTGGATTTAGGGCAGGAGGGTGGGACCAAAGCCTTAGTGGAGAGGCGCCCACGTGAGAAGGCCATGAGCCCTGTGCGGATGGAACTGCACCAGCTGCCAGCCAGGGAGCCCTGAGGGCTGCTAAGTTGCTTCATTCACAACCCCAGGCCCTGGACATCTGATCACCTGGAAATCTTATCCGATTCCTCATCGTCCACCATCCCCAGGTGATGTCTGACCACCTTGGCCTGCCTTCAGCAAGAATCCTGTGAGGTCAGTGGAGCCGGAATCTCCCCTTGACCCCTGATGTTTCCACTTCATGTTTCCCATCTACTGAGCCCACCTGCTCCTTGGCTGTAGATTCCCGCCTGCCCATGCTGGGTTCCAAGCTGAGCCTGGTTCTATACCAAGGTCTCCCTTCCTCTACTGTAGTAGTTCTAAATACAATCTTTTTTACCACTTTAACTACTGTCCAGCTCTGGTCTTCTTTGACACTAGCATAGAGTTCTCAACTGGGGGTGATTCTGCCTGGGAGACAATTGTGGTTGTCACGACTGGGAAGGTTGTGCTGGCACCTAGAAGCAGAGACTTGAGAGGCTGCCTACATCCTGTAATGCACAGGACAGCCCCCACCACACAGGGTCATCTGGCCCAAGTGGGCCTCCTCTGGGGGTCTGCACATGAGGCAGGTTCTGCATGACTTCTTCATTTGGAGAGGAGGAGAGGAGACTGAGAGAAAAAGGGACATATGGCTCTATAGTAGCCAGGACAAAGCCAGTCCAGCCTCCAACACCTGCCAGGTACACAGCTTTCCCATCACTGTCTATCCAAGGTGCCATGGAAATATGCTAGTTACAGTTTTTAGGTCGTGCTGAGAATATGCAATGTTCTGTGTCTAACAAGGGTTTCACTCCCAGGGGTTGAACATGGGTAATCCAAACTAATAAAAAAGGTGCAAAAACAAAAACAAAAACAAAAAACTAAGGTGGCTCAGCCCGTTAGGGAATTTTATTTATAGATCACCTATTTCAGAAGAAGTTACATTCTTGCTTTTTATGCAATTATGTAGAGTTTAGAAAAAAAGAAAATTACCAGTGGATTTGCAATTGTATCATATTCCAAAGGGCGTAATGGGATTTCTTTGTAATAAATTTTCAGTAGTTAAAAATAGAAGTGAAAAACACGGCTTGTATTGTTGTAACTTGAAATACAATTAATATAACATTCTGATGTTTTTGCCGACGCATGTTGTAGCTTATTCAACAAAATATTTTGTTCAGACCGCTGGATGACTTCCAGACCGCTACGCTCTCAGTTCAGTTAGAATTCGTCTAAAGCAAGTGCAAACTAGCTGAATATATTTTTGGCATTCTTATGGCTAAATGATCCTTGTGCCTTTAACAGAAAGTAAATCCTAATACTTTCAGTAAAGCTAGTTCAAGCTGAAGTCTCGCTGAAGTGACAGGTGATGTCCCCAAGGCTCCATTGACTGGGTGCCTACAGCAGCGTTGCTGGATGCACAGGGTGGGGACAGTTTTGCTTCATCACAGAAACTGGTTAAGTTGACTCATTGCTTTGGGAAGTTTTTCAGGTGTGATGCATAGGTTGAAAGGGGTTTGGTTTTACCCCACCTTTCACTCAGGGCAGGTGTTCCCCAAAGCTGGGCACCATAACCACAGGGTCTCCTTTTTGCGTGGAGACACTGTGGTGACCACCCTCACCCCAAGCACAGGGCTCTCCTCTCCTGGTTCTGCCCTTCAGCCCATCCCTCTGAGCATGTTAACTGAGCTGTTAATGACGTGTATGTGCACGTGCCTGTGTGTGTGTGTGTGTGTGTGTGTGCGGGTGCACACGTGCACACGCCTGTGTCTGTCCCATGTTGGTAAGTCTCTAAAGCCAAAGATTTCTGATTTTGCTCCTGTGCAGAGGGCAGCACAATATTCTGTAAAATACACAAGACCCCGACTCAGTGCACTGGATTCTAGACATAGCAAGTCCAGCCACAATTTTTCCTTTTATGAACAACAAGCATTAATTATTTATCATTCCCCCTTCCCTCCTTCCTTCCTGTCTTCTCTCCTGCCCTCCCCAGGGTCTGTGTGTGCACAACGTGCCCTGCATTGTATAAGGCACAAGGCAGGGCTGTGGGCAAAATAAGGAGCACCCCCTGCCATGGAGTTTACAGTCCAGTGGGCCGTGAATTCAGTGGTTGGGCACACACATGAAACCACGACTGCAACATGCATGTCAGAGCTGAAATCCGCAGTGCAGCGGACTTTCAGCACCATGAGGTTTCTTTTGGTTGGTGTTCCCACTAACACTGTCATCAGGGAGACTTTGTAGAAATAAGACATTCAATTTGTCCATTTCCCAAAGGCAGAGCATGAGAGGGGGAAGAGACTTCAACACCAACTCAGATTGAGACGATGACGACTTTCAAGGGAGGGCCTGGTCTGGAGACGTCCACCCGCCAGTGTGCCAGATTTCAGGTGCTTCTGAGCCTCACAGCTGAGGAGGGCTTGCTGTGCGACCTTCACCATATTACAGAAACCCTCTGAACCTTATTTGTGGTGAAATGCGTGTTTCAGACAAGAGGATCTTAAAATGCCCCGCAAAGAGGCAATTCCGTGATGCAAATGCATCCTGTTATAATTTCGTCCTGTTGAAATATTTAAACATCTTGATTCTGCCATCAGCTTATTAGCTCTGCCTCCTAGTTTTGCCGTTTCTATAAATTTGATAAACAGGCCTCCCACATTTTCACCCACTTGATCATAACAATGTTCAGCAGGAAATGCCAAAGACAGATGCCTTGGGCAGGTCCCGCCAGCCGCGGCTCGGCAGGAGGACAGCCCTGCTCATCTGAGCTGTGATGGGCAGAGAGGCTGGGCACAGTTACAGTGGCAGATGCCCCAGCGGCCCTGGTCTGCCTCTGCATCATCCGTCTTGGTGTGCAGGTGCCAGTCCACCATCTGGGGTCCCTGCTGACGGCCAGCCCCGGGTGGCCTCCAGAGGCTGTGCAGCCCCTGACTTTGGTTCTGTTTTACAGCAGGTCCCTGTCCCTTGCAGCTGCACTGATAACAGCATGGCCAGCCCCCCTGGGGAGAGCTGGTTGGCAGTGTGGTGTGCTGGAAAGACGTGAATGGGAATCTAAAGAGTGAGGCTTGTCTTTGTCCCCAGTTCCTGACAGAGAGCTTCAAACACTCTTGAAATGTGGGAGTGATAGGAGCCTTTGGTTATTCATGAAAAACGCTTTGACCAGGCCAGACCTGAGTGTATGCTAATGAGGGACTCACTGGATCCTTAGGTAGTTTCAGGGAGTTTCAAGGGAGGGATTGAGCTGTCTGCCATGTGATCAGAGGTTGAAACTTCAGCCTTCCTGCTACCCCCTATCAAGGATGGAGAGAGAAGCTGGAGATCGAATTCAGTCTGTTGGCTAGTTATTTAATCGGTCATGCGTCTGTAGTGAGACCCCAGCAGAACTCTCGAGCACCAAGGCTCAGGAGCCTACCTGGTTGGTAAACACAGCAGCATGCAGGAGAGAGGCACACGCCAGCCCTGTGGGGACACAGGCTCTTGCCCCTGGGATGCTGTGCGTCTCTCCCACTTGGCTGTTCCTGAGTTATTACCTTTACAATAAAAATGTAGTCATAAGTACATTACTTTAGTGAGTTCTGTGAGTCATTCTAGCAAGTTATCCAACCTGAAAAAAGGTGTGGGAGCTCTAGAATCTGTACCCAAGTCGGACAGACTTGCAAATAACCTGGTGTCACTTGCAGCTGGTGTCTGAGGTGAGGACAATCCTGTTGGGCTTGACCTGTGGGGTCTGCACTGTCTCAGGGGAGTTATGTCAGACACAGAATGAAGCACAGGACAACCAGTTGGTGTCAGAGAATTGCTATCAGAACTTAGAGCCAATTAAATTAGTCTCAATTCCATTCGGGAGGCATTTCCAGAGGGCCACTGTGCCTCGGCCCAGCCCAGGAAGCCCGTGCAGATTCTCTGAGCCCTGGGGTTCATTCACTACAGACCCTCCCAACCCCACACAGCTGTCGTGTTCCTTAACCTGCACCATGACAGGAAGAGGCATGGTGAGGGCCCCACAGTCCCCCCCACCAGCTCTGACTGCTCCCCACACTGGGATTCAAGGCCCCCGCCGGTGGAGGCTCGCATTCCAGAGAGAGGGACACAGAGTTACAAAGGAGCAACTCTGCTAAATAAGTAAGTTAGGTGGCATAGTCAGAGAAGTTACATGCTTAGGAAATTTAAAAAGGAAAAAGAAAAAGAAACCCAGATGTGGGGAGGGACTGTGGGGATCGTGGGGCAGGTAGGACCCCATGAACACAGACCGGTGAGAGGGGAAGGGGTCCTGTATGTACTTGGGAAAAGAACACCCCAGACCCAGGGCTTACCTATGCAGAGGCCCTGAGGTGGGTCTCCAAGGCCGTGGGAGGGCTGAGACCTTCTGCTGTGACTGTAACGAGGAGCCCAGCAGCCTCCAAGTCCTGGGTCTCAGCTCCCGCTCTGCCTCTGTCTGCTCAGCCAGGGCTTCCCTGTGATGCAAACTCCAGGACAGTGCCGAGCAGCGCTCCTGGGAGGCCGAGTGGGTGTGGGTTCCCTGCCGCCAGCAGCCCTGGAGTGCATGGTTACTTGTTGTCGGGACTTGAGGGGCCAAGGCCTGCCTTCCCCACCCCCTTCAAGTGTGGTTGGGAAA